CCCTGCGGGCCCTGACCGGGTGCCTGCTGGGCGCCCTGGTGCTGAGCACGCTGGTGGGGAACGCGCTGGTGTGCTTGGCCGTCCTGCGCTTCCGCCACCTGCGTGCCAAGGTCACCAACTGGTTCGTGCTGTCGCTGGCCGTCTCAGACCTCTGCGTGGCCCTCCTGGTGATGCCCTGGAAGGCGGTGACTGAGGTGACCGGCGGCTTCTGGCTCTTTGGCAGCCGCTTTTGTGACACCTGGGTGGCCTTCGACATCATGTGCTCCACCGCCTCCATCCTCCACCTCTGCATCATCAGCCTGGACCGGTACTGGGCCATCGCCAGCCCCTTTCGCTATGAGCGCAGGATGACACAGCGCCTTGCCTGTACCATGATAGCCATGGCCTGGGCCCTCTCCATTCTCATCTCCTTCATCCCAGTGCAGCTACACTGGCATAAAGCCAAGGACAGGAGATATCCAGGCTCCTGGCTGCCTGGGACACCCCGCTGTGATGTCAGCCTGAACCGCACTTATGCCATCACCTCCTCCCTTATCAGCTTCTACATCCCTGTGGCCATCATGATCATCACCTATACCAGGATCTACCGAATTGCCCAAGCTCAGATCCGCCGCATCTCCACCCTGGAGCGAGCAGGGGGGCAGTGGCCAGCTCATGGCAAGGAGCCCACCTCTTCTTTGCGGAGTTCCCTGCGCAAGGAGACCAAGGTGCTGCAGACCCTCTCTATCATAATGGGAGTCTTTGTTTGCTGCTGGCTGCCCTTCTTCCTTCTCAACTGTCTGCTGCCTTTCTGCCAGCCCGAGCTTGAGAAAGACCATGAAGGACAGTCACCCTGCGTTGGCCAAACCACCTTCAACATCTTCGTGTGGTTTGGTTGGGCCAACTCCTCAGTGAATCCGGTGATCTATGCTTTCAATGCAGACTTCAGGCGAGCTTTCAGCAACCTCCTGGGCTGTCGGTGCTTCTGCTGTGGCACACCCAGATCCACTGTTGAGAGGGTCAACTTCAGCAATGAGCTGGTTTCCTATCACCATGACACCACCTGCCAGAAGGAAGGAGCTGCCTCATCATCAGTACCCACTGCTGCCATCACTGCCTGGGTGCAGCCTGTACCCCATGCCATAAACCTTCAAGGAGAGGACAGCAGCGAGGAGATATCTATGGAAAAGAGGTCTGTGATTTCTCAGGGACAGGCTGCCCCTGGCAGCAGCCCCAAGAGTTGTCAGGTGCCAGCTACTTTGCAATCAGATTTCAAGGCAGAGCCATCCCTGGAAACTATTACTCCCTGTTTGGGGCTTGGTCAGTGTGAGGGACCCCATCACGCTGTTCCAGAGGGATAAGTGACTGTGCATTTTGCACACACAGAGCCATCCCACAGGGAGAGTTCACTCTGCCTCCACGTAAGCTATGCCTGGTCCCCAGCAAACAAAGTCCCATCCCAAAGAGATGGAAATCTGCTGCTCTTACTCCAGAGATGTGACAGGTGTATGAAGTCCATTCAGAAGCATACAGCAGTCACATACATATTAACCTCTTCCCACAGCCACCTTCACCCCTTACTCTGTCAGTCCATAGACATTTCCCATGCATTTGTTCACCCCCACTCTTCAATCAAACTTGTGGTATTTATTAAGAGTAGTGAGATAATAAAATAAAAACCACCCATAGTTTGAGAGTCTGTAATATAATCTTACATAGGTAAAATCATCTTAGATTTAGCATCATTGCTAAAACCCATTTTTCCCCCTCTCATGGTTTCACATCATACATGTGCATAGTTCTGGTCCTAAAGGTTTGTGTTTGGTTTTACTTTTGTGTTTATTTCTAAGCTGCACGTCTGGATTTACACATCTGAATCCGCATTTAGGCTCTTAAATAAAAATCGCTCCGTTAAAACATCACTATCTTATGTTGAGTCAAAAGACTTGCAGGAGAGAAGAAATGGGGAACTTGATCACCATTTCTGTATGTGTAAAAGGGTTCAGCAGACATTGAGAGAATACACTGCCCTCCACATCTCTGTCCACCACTCAGGACTTCTGCTGCTGACCATTTAGTACTGTGCTCCACTAATCACCATCATTACCCCATTTTTCTGTCCTTTGCCTATGACTGAGTTGATGGATCTTGATTCATCTAAGGAAGATAATGAAGATGCAACTGTCCGGAAAGAGATGTCAAGAATGCTTACACAGCGAAAGTTTTCTTGGACACTCAGTCTCACAGATGCTCTTTCAGAACAGTGATCCATGCTGAGAAGCCAGCTGCTGAAAGGCCTGTGATCCTGATCCTGCTCTCAGTGATCCTCACAGTGATGCTGATCCTGCTCCCTGTGAATTTAAACCGTATGTAGTTCTTAAGCCCCTGTATGTATTCCCCCCCATTGCATTAATTCTTATGGGAAAAATTGCTTTTTGCTATCCTGCTCTTTTCAGGAATGTGTCCTTGATGGATAGTTGTGTGTGACTAATCTGTTCTTCATGGTCAAGACTGGCAGGACTAGAAGAGGTAATGGGCTTAAGTGTAAGACAGACCAAGTCAAGACTTCAGAAAAACTTCCTAAGAATAAGGATAATTAATCAGTGGAGTAGATTGCCTAGGGAGGTTATGACATCTCTCTCAGTAAAAGTCTTTAAAATGACATTGCTGAACATCTGTCAGAAATGACACTGGCATTGTTAATTCTGTCTTGGGGCAGAGGCATAGTGTAAGAGTCTCTTGAGATCTTTTCTAGTCCTGCTTCACTATGACAGCATGACTCCCTAAGCATTTAGCTTAAGATGTTTGGGTTTTGGCTTGTTTATTTGGTCTGGTGTTTGGGTTTTGTGTTTTTTTTTTTTTCTTTTTTTTTCCATACAATTATCCTTAGCTATTTTTCTGTAGGCAAAAAAAGCATACAGATAAGAACTTTGAAACCCCATTGGAATATTTCCCTTCTTCTCTTTGTGATTAGCTATTTTTCTCAGCATTTAACAACTATAATTCAGCATGCCTAGTGCCTCATCTGGAGAGCAACCCTGAAATAAACCTAGTATTTCCTTAAAAGAGATACAAGATCTGGGGGTTTTGATTATTTTCTAGGTGATCATATGTGAACTGTACATGGATTCACATGCTAAAGGGTCAATAAATTTTTGACAGGATTTTCTTTGCTACATTTCTTCCTTCTTACACAAACCAGAAACATGTACCATTAAAGCGTCAGCATTCTTTATCTCCTCAAAAAAACCCAAAATTATATCTTAGAGCTGTAAGAGACTTCTCATCTCAACCCCTCTGCACTAAAACCCATCCTGGGGATATACTGACACACCTGATAAGACACTATCCTGAAGTGTGACTCCCTCACTGCTTCCTGCACTTCTGTTTCTGTTGCAAGAGTTTCAGCTGGCTCCATCCCTCACAGAGTTAACTCCCCCTGCCCACACACATCTTCTTTCCCATGAGCAGGCAGTCTTCTGGCAGTCAAGGCTTTTTTTTTTTTTTTTTTTTTTAACCATGTGTAAAGTCTCATTATTGGTGATAAAAGCTGTTAATTAATGGAAGGGAAAGATTTACCTTCTCACAAGGTTTGCCCTGTCTATGGGAGCTGTCTCGCCCAGGAAGTAGTCTGGACTTACTACACAGAGTGATGAAAACTTAGTGTATGACAGAGTGGGTGGCAGAAATGAAGCAATTAATATATTTGAATAATGTTTTCTCTTAAGAATAATCAGAAATGCATGATAGCTTTGATTTATGAAACTATATTTATGTTAAGAATAGAAAAAGCTATTTGTGCTTGTGGCTATAGTTTAAATAAGGTTCATTAATAGGTCAAATTGTACAAAAAACTGGTCTTCACTGAAGCTTTTTAAAGGACAATTTAAAATTGCTCTTTCTAAGTGATGCTGGAAATAATTGTACCTAATTGATAATGGTCATTACTGATGTGCAGATGATACTATAAACTGTAACATGTAAGTGCAGTGTAATGTTCAAGACTGCAATAAACTTCAGAAGTTGTGAGTTATAAACTGTTTATATTCATTTTTAAGTGGCATATTACTGAAGGTACTTCATATGAAAGCTACATCGCATAGCCCTTCAGCCTACATCTTCTGCTGTTGCTGATGTAATAACACATAAATATCGATACTGTATGTAGTTTTATTTTCCTAGGCTGGGAAGGCTCCCAAATGTTATTTCTAAAAAATAAAGTTACTACAGGCCACAAAGTTCTGTGAACAGTAAATGAGCAAGACTTATTTTCCCAATAATTTTTTCTAGTGATTAACTGTGATTTCTAATTGACATTTTTCTCATGACAGGGTAAGCTGCTGTGTTAGATTACACAACATTCAGTTAGCATTGTTAGTTCAAGTCTGATGAGATATATTAGAATTATTCCAAAAAGACAAAGATTTCAACAGAAATTAAGAGGCAAAATTATTTCCTATTTACACAAGTGCAGGCACTCAAAGGAAACACCTTCCAAAGCGAAAACTTGGCAGCATTTTATTATCTGTTTCTGGGTCACAACTTTCTTGGCTTGGCAGGACAAAATGAAATCACAAATGGCAAAGGCCTTATTTTAGGGAGATCTATGGCTATTCCTCAAACACACTTTTTATAACTCAGATCATCAAATCTACATGCTTCTTTATGCATTCACCACAATTTTGTAAGGTATTTCACTAACTAAAAGCATTCACTTGCACACCTAGTAGTTCCACATTTACAATACCATTAACTTCACAGTGACATAAAAACAATAGCTTTTAAATACCCTTGATATCAAAAGAGCCCAAGCTGACAGATACCTTATTTAAGCACTCTTATTAGCCAATGTCTAAACATCAAAATCAAAACATGTTCCAGTTCAACAAAGTTCTAGTTGTAGGTATGTACGATGCATACCGAATGTCTTCCCTGTTCAAGTAATTCCCACTCCCTTTCTTTCTGTCATTCTACAAGTTCCTCAACCAGCTACAGGTCCTATTTCTTTATTACACAGCTGAAATTAATACAAGCTTATTGTGGTCAATTAAAAGCTTATGTAACTGAGCTGCCAGAGCAGCACTTCTCACTACCACATCGCACATGAGAAAGAGATAATGTCTCTGTAGCCTCCCCTGGGTGGCTCTAAAAGATGCTTATTCAGCTGAGAGCTTTTCCCTGCTGTCAAATTCCTCTGAAATTGCTCACTGTGTTTAAAAGTTAAGCATAGGGGTAAACAGAGAGAGATATGTGCATCCCTTCTTAAACAACTGGGCTAGAAAGCAAACAGCATTCTGCAAGGGAAAGGAAACAAACCTCAGGGCAGGGCTGTCTGGAGCTGGAGATACAGCAGGGCGAGGACAAGAACTCCTTCCTGGTGAAAGGCCAAGACTGGTCCCACACCCTCGTGTGGCACAGGTGCCAGGTGACATTCCACTAACCAGCCATCAGGGTGTTGTTTCTAAGAATAAATGTAATGCCACCAGTCACATGTACCCCTGTAGCAGGAGGCAAATGTAGAATGTACTTGTACAAAGATGTACTTGAACTCCACATTGATGCGAAGTTTCATTTTGTTTCCTAAGCAATATCTTAAAAAGATTAACAACACACATGTATCCTTGACATTATGCTTACATTTTTGTGTCCTGCTGTTTACTGATTATCTGTTTGCCTGTCATCCAATTTATACAGGGCTTTATTTTGCATTACACACAAATGTGCAGAGATTGCCACTGACTTTAAGAAGCTTGTTACAGCTACAGCACTGCTTCTACACCTATCAGTTCCAGGAATGAGAAAGGACTGAAAAAAGCACATGTCACTTAGCATGAGAAAACAAAGTGCTGGGACAATTCTGCAATTCAAACCATAACAGAAAAATATATTCTCAAAGAAACACTGTTAGCAACATCCTAATAAGCAAAACCTAAAGAGACTAGATTTCTTCCCAGTCTCCTCCTCCCCTTGGACTGGATGTCTATCTATTTATTTAACCTGCAGGGAAAATCTTCAAACAAACGCACACAGACATGTGGATATTGCAGAGGGATATTAGCCCTTATATATTGCAAAGTATATTCCCAAGGCGTCAGAGAAAATAGTTTTCACTCCTCCTCCATTTATTTTTTGCTAAATTGTTGTAATTTGTTTTGCTAAGTTGAATGTAGACTAAATATCATGTCTTTAGAAGCTCAATCCAAATATACGTACAAATGGAAAGTTAATTAAATAGTTCTGATGTAGCAACTATTACATACAGTTGCTATGATAAAGGTAAAAACCAAAAACAAATCAAAAAACCTTATCCACAAGTTTATAGTTAGTGAAACTTTAACAATTGTTGAATTCAGAGGAAACACCAATGTAAAGGAAAACAAGATCATACCTCAACTGTGTATCTTTTTTTCTTATTCATTTGATACGAAGATGATGCCTTAACATTTCAGTTAAACTTTAATTTCAGTGAGAAACAGCTGACCTAGGTAGCAAAAAGAGAGATCTGTTATACAACTTGGTTTTCAGAAGCATCTGTTGTTTAGCTTTTGCCAAAATCATGCCTCTTGTGTCGGATTACAGATGATGCACCTACGCACACCATATTAAATATATTTAAATCAGTTGAATATTTCTTAGTAAAAATTATTTTGTGAAAATTTCTCTATTCTTCATAGACTGTTGGGGTTTTTTCCTCACCTGGGAGGTTGAAGTGGCTTTCTGGATGTTAAGCACTATCAGTTCCGTCCCCCTGGACTCTGATGTACTTAAGTGGTTTCATCACCATGGTTACAGACTCCCACCACATAAGTCTTAACTTTATTTATCTCATTGTTATAATTTAACTCACTTTCCTGAATCCTCTCTCCTTTCCTACTGCAAAGGGACTTAGAGCAGGGTGCACCCCCCTAGACTTCTCATTCTCTTAAGAACTAATTTTCATT